CCCCCCCCCCCCCCCCCCGGAGCTCCCTACGACAAGACATCGCACCTCGAAAGAGAATGGCTCGGAGTTACCCCCGACACTCTTTACCCTAGTTCTCACCCTGTCGTACATATGTATGTCAGACTGCACGAATGTATGTGATCGCGACCACTATAGACTCAAGCCACCTCTATCTCCCTCGACACCTTTTCGAACGCGTTCTCAAGGTCGATAAATAACATATAAGTTCCTTCTTAGCCTTACGCTCCTTCATCAACCTTTGTATTAGGTAAATGGCCTCTTTGGTCAATCTATCAAGCATGAACCTAAACTAGTGCACGAAAATGTACACCCCATTCCGCAACATATACTCCACGATTATTGGTATAGAATTAAATACTAAAATCTTTTTATTTAAAAACTATATCAAAAATTCTACAAAACAAGATGTGACATAACTATTATTTTACGGTTGGGACGTTGGATTCTATAGCCACTCAAAGAGAGTGGCTACGAAGACACCGTCTCAATTGGGCCACCTACGGTGCTCCGTTCACAAATAGACAAAGAAATGGATAAAGGTTTACCGTGTGAATAGTATCCGGAGAGATTATTTTGAGACGGATGAAGGATCATGAAATCAGAACAAAAGTGCTTCTCGATTAAAACTCTGTTTATTGATAAAATAATAGAAGATTAGTCCATTCAAATAAGATGCAAATATTGGGAGCCCATTAACTCCAACGATTTGTTTGACGATGACAAATTATTTCACGCCATTACTTGTGTCATGCATTTTGCTGCACTTGCCGGTGTAATTGCACAATCCAATCCATATAGCTATTTGTGCCACCAACCTGGTCCTCAATTAGATTTCTTAGGAGGAAGAATCCTTCTCTAGGCTGTTCACCTTGTCTCACAAGGTGACATAGTTGATAATATGATGGGTCACTTTGTCTAAACTTTCTAAGCAAGCCCATCAGTTTTCTTGAAACTTCATTATCTTGCTCTTGTAGATAAACCTGATCCTCAAAGATCCAATAATAGCCGCATCAGAGGAAAGTTAACAAACTTATGTGCAAAACTAAGATAAGATAGCATGGTAGTCTATGCAGAACTGCTTTATCTTTCTTTTTATTACTTTTCCTCCTATTTCTATTAGTTTGGGGGGGGAGGGATTATTGATACGGAGCTAGTCAACAGAACATCAAAAAAATTGAAAGCTAAAAATTTTTAGGTTTCTGTCTTTCTGATATCAAAAAACTAGAGAAAAATGAAGTAACATCCTCTGAAAGTAGTTTGTATTGAAGATTACAAGAGAGACCCCCAAAACTAGGCATTATTCATTCCTCCTAGTTCTCTTAAAGCAAG